TATTTGATACAAATATTTGATAAACCTATTCATATATATGTAGTATTTGATATAAATATTTGATAAAATTATTCATATATATGTAGTATTTGATATAAATACTTGATAAACTTATTCATATATATATATATAGTAGTTGATATATATATTTGATAAAAACTTGAAACAAAACTGGTACACTTCGGAGAATTCGTTTTCTATTACATTATATATTTAGATCCTTTTTTTAAAACATAAACTCTGCAATATCCTTTTATATGTTTTGTTTTGTTTTTATAGAATAAAGATAAATTATTGAAGTATCGCCTGCAAATGTTCTCCAGATAATTTAAATACTTTTCTGTTTTTGCTATAACTCAATTCTAAATATTTCAAACACTCCGATATTTATTTTGCATTCACTACAAAAATTACATAAATTAATATTTAGAACGTGCTAGTGAAAACATCTAAGATATATATATGATTTTGATATCAAGAAAGTTGGAAATCTATAATTAAGTAGTTGTGGAATATTGATAAATGAGGATCTTTTTTAAACTTAGTCAAACAATTTAACATGTTACTAAGAGTATTGCTTACCACCAAACAACATTTACAAAATAACTTTGAACACAAAATTCATAAAAAATATCAATAAAATGATAATATTTAATTTGTACAAAAACAAATTTGTTTTGCGAATGTATAAGTTATGTTATAATTTTCTCACTACTGATACTTAAAATACAGTAATGTTACTCTACGAGCTATTAAGCCATAGATCAAGGTCAACATTCCCGATTCTTGTATGGCTAGCAGTTAGCGTGTCCAAATTGTGAATTCAAGTGCTCATGGTTCGCAGTCCGTTGCTTCAAAAACGCGATTAGTGGTCGTGATTACACTATAATAGTGACAGTCAGATCCTACTTTATGGTCAGACAAAAGTAGCTCAACAGTTAGCGGTGGTTGATATTGGCCTCTACAAAATTAGGGACCACTATGTGCAAACAGTCCTTATGTAGCTTTGCGCGAAATTTCCAACCAATTAACAAACGTTATTTGATATTTATTTCAGTTATTTGAGTCGTATTTACAAATGTAAATAAGTGTATCATAGGAGAATTTACAAATGTATACAAGTGTATCGTAGGAGTATGTATTTACAAATGTATATTAGTGTATCATAGGAGTATTTACAAATGTATATAAGTGTATCATAGGAGTATTTACAAATGTATATAAGTGTGTCCTACGAGTATTTACAAATGTATTTAAGTGTGACATAGGAGATATTACACCATACTTCCAGTTATAATTTCGTATTTTATATTTATAAAATATACCACTTAAGCTTTGAACTTTTAGTATCCTACAGCTCATCTTTCTCTTTTTAGTGTAATGCGAAAGGCATGGATTCTTTTGAACTATACTCCATATATTGAATCACTCGTACATTGGCTCTGAGTTCCTTTCAATTTGTCTATACGAACTTGTGACATCTACTGGCCACTTCTTTAGGTTGTATTCGAGGCCAGGCATGGCCAGGTGGTTAGGGCGCTTGACTAGCGAACTGAGGGTCGCGGGTTCGAATCCCCTTCCCACCAAACATGCTCGCCTTTTCAGCCGTAGGGACGTTATAAATGTGACGGTCAATTCCACTATTCGTTGGTAAAAGACTAGCCCAAGAGTTGGCGGTGGGTAGTGATGAATAGCTGCCTTCCCTCTACTCTTTCACTGCTAAATTAGGGACGGCTAGTGCAGATATCTCTCGAGTAGTTTTGCGCGAAATTCAAACCAAACCAAGCTTGTGCTCGTTCAAAGACTTCTGGCCAATATCATGTAGTGTCCACCAGTGAATCAGCAGTAAGTTTACAGACTTACAGTGTTAAAATTCGGAGATAGATTCCCCGTGATGAACAAAGGATAGACACCCTACTGTGTAGAATTGTGTTAAAAAAACTAACATATATTCTGTCGCTATTATGCCATAACAGTTGGAATAAACCATCTTTCATCAGAAAGTGAAAAATCAATAAATAAAGTAGGTAAAAAGAATGAAACGTTTACAACTGTCTTCGATAACAGTCTGTGTTTAAAACACATTACTCTAAACTGTATCAAGTATTGATTTTTTTACCTTTTTGTCTCCTCCAGCAGGTTTGTATTTAATGTTATCAAGAGATCCGATTTTTGAAGTTACATTCCTTAGATTTGGCATTGGCGCTTGACCAATAGGTGGTTTAATCGGTGGTAATCCTGTGATTGAAAATACTAATGAATGAAGTGTAAGAAATGTAGCAATCTACACAATGCTAGATTTTATATAATGAAAAGTCAGCTTTCCTAATATACTATTTTTATATTTATCCCTTTCTTTAATTTTCAAACTTATGTCACGTTTTCATGTGTTACAATAAATTTGTAGTATAATACAAACTCTCTAGAAATAAAATGAACACGTCCTTAACGATATTCAATAGATTTACAGCACTGTGTTATCAAATATAGTCGTTAGTTTGTATTCTGAGCCTCGTTTTCAAATATTCTTCTTCTAAGCATCAATTTGTTATTAAATATCCATTAAACAAAAATAATTTCGTGTATTAATTAATAATAATGATAATATGCACAGTTACTTGCATTATGCGGAGTTGCTTCATTCGAATACATTCTTAATCGTGTTTATGGTAATAACATTTTTGACACTAATATCAACATCATAAACAAAAAAACTTACGTGCAGGAACTTTAGTTGGTGAATGAACGCCGTTTCGGAGAGGCATTTTTGATTTTTGTCTTTTAAGTTGTGATGCGTCTGTTTGCATTGGGTGAAAAAACAAAAGCCATGTTTGAATCGAATTATTTCTTATTTACATCTTTTTTATATCATATCATAGTTACAAATATGACTTGTTTATTTCGTTTGGGTTCCTCAAATAACTGGTTAACCTAATAAGGAAATACTTAATTCCAACAATCTTACCAAACATTAAATCATGTTATACGATGCAAATGCTATAAAGGATATCGTTTCTTTTACAGCACGTTTAATTGAAATACGATAGAATAATTATTCTAAACTAACTCTTAATAGATAGTTGTTTGTGAATATATAAAATCACTTAGGTAATTGATGTGAGAGAATGTAACAAAGCAAAAGCTGAAGAAAACACTAAAGTAAAATAAAAACTAATTTTTCATGTCTTTGTCTTAAAATTAACCTTTTTTTCATGAAATAAGTTTAGATTTTCCGAGACAGTAATATTGGTGTATATATTAAGGGGTGTTGCAAAATCAATCACACGTTTTTTTTCCCGAGAGCATAATAAAGTAAAATAAGACTTTAATTGAATCAAAAAAGTAATTCCAAGTATCAATATCACACGCACGAGTTTTAATCGATTTGTAGAATATTTCAGCAATGTAACAAACATGTCTGTTTTTGTGGCTGTCCCTGTGAGCACATCAGTGAGAACAGGAATCAAGGTTTCACGTTT